TAAAGCTTATGGACACTTATCCACAATATTGGAAAGAAACTGAGCCGCTTCTCATCTCGTTCCCGTCAACATATTTAGTGGAGAGATGATTTAGTTCTGTCTTCCAGCTGCTCACAAAGCAAAGAGAAATGTTGGACATTTGTCTTGTTGTTACAATGTTTTACCCCCCGATTAATATTCTGGCTACGGCCTTGGTGTGTAGAAAAGAGCAGATTATCACAGATCTCGCTTAAAGGTTAGAAGGTTTACACGTAAACCACATAAAAAAACCTTTTTAGGTTTACATTAAAAGGTTTTTGCTGAGTGAAAATAAACCTTATTTTGCTACCTGGGTACTATTTATGACAAAAATTTTTTTTTAACACAGAATGCTTTTTAATATATATTGGTAGAATTATTATTAAAGATGAAGCTAAAAATTATACATACTACAAGACGCAAATTAATGTTTGACTACCGTTTTCAAACTTTGACTTATCATTATTAAGGTTACAAACAGAAAAGCAAAGTTTAAAATCAACAAAATCCAATTTATTTGCTTAGAGTAGACTGATATCAAATCCTACTGCGTGAAATCTTCGTATTCGAATAAATTAGTTTTAAAAGATTTTAATTTCTTCTCTGCTTTTCCCCACCTCAACAATGATTGGTCAAATTTTTTTTCTCGATAAAATATTAATTTGTGACCTCTAATGTGTTCTTTTTTCAAAGGGTAGCTGTTGGCTATAGATAAGTCTTAACTCATTTAATATTAATAATAACTAAGTCGCTTAAAATTATTAATGTATACCGGGCAGTGGCATTTAAAAAAAATCAGTGTAGGTTATACTAGGCAGTCACTAACTATTTAAAAAGGCATCACTGTAGGGTATACCTGCTAAATGAATACCGGTCATTGGCACTTAACCTTAAAAAACATCAGGGTAAGGTATATCGGTTAAATATAAGTTAGCACATAACCATCACCAAGGGTCGCTTTTGCGGTAGAGTTCTGTTTCTTTAAAAGGATTCTAAAGACTACTGTTCGCTCCCGCCCATCAAACCCGATGATTGCTTCATAATAATTTTTGTTTCTTGGCGGAAAACAGTTTTTCTACTAAAGTTAAAATTATTTACGTAACATATATGTATAGTATATCCTTACAGTATATATAGTATTGTATATCCTTATACTTCATGTATGTAGTAAAAGGAATTCTGTTTGCTTGCGCTTGTGCCTCCACTTCCTACGTCCAAATATTAGTATCTATAAGTATTATAAATATTTAGATCTATTGGTGAGCAGATGTAATTTTTTTAAGTAATCATTTTCTAAAAAAAAAAAAATAGTGCGTGGAGTACCTCCTCGCGGAAGAAGTTAAACTTCCCAACCTGCGACGTTAATTGTAGAAGAATCAGCAGTCGTAGAAGGATCACTAGTTCTATTCAACGACTCTTTTTCCTGCTCCGCTCGCTTCCGTGCTCTGTAATCACGGTAATATTGTGCATTTTTCCCTCGTGGACCTCTTGAACCAGTGGAAGTGCTTGTGGTTGCCTCATCGTCTCGCCCTGGAAAATGTATTTGTATTAATAATGTATGTGAATGCGTCATAATGTAATTTCAGAAGAGAAAACCTAACAATCAATTGATATTCACAAGAGACGTACCTTGACATAACCTTAAATCCGTCGCATTGTCCGTGGGATTGTTTTCACTCATTTTTTACAATTGTTATCCACTAAATTTGAAAATAAAAAATACTACCCTATTAAATTATATGTGTATCAAAACAAACTAAAAAAATATTTATAGAAAAACAATACTTTTATGACTTTTATTATTTTTATGCTAGTGAGAACCAAAACAATATGGAAATGAATGAGGGAAAACTGGATCCTACCACGTGATTTCCCGGCCAATAAAAATGTAGCGTTAAACGTTTAACGCAACCTTGTTGGAAGTCGCATAAGAAGTATAACTTCAAAAACATTTATATTGTTATAACATGATATAACATTATATTGTTTAAAACAAATTTGATGAGTTCACAACCTTAATTTAATATTTTCGCTTACAAAACGGGTGGATATATTAAATACAATTTTTGCTTGCATCTCATTGTGCATGTAGCTGAAGTTCTAAATCATTTACCATATCTCTTTAACTGTATTTTATAACAGTATATCAATGTTATTTGCACAAAAATAATAATTGTAAAACTTATGATAAGATTAGAACATGTTTCTAAATAACTTTATATTAAAATGTAGCACAGAATTACATTATAATAATAATTTAAAAAAACAACAATCCTTTTAGTTTTAAACTCTTGAATTAAAAGCGTAATAATAGCAGTACAGGGAAATAACTTTAAATTAGGGAGTCAAAAATATTTATGGAAAAACAATACCTTTATAAGTTTTATTAATTTTATGCTGATGACAACCAAAACAATATGGAAATAAATGAGGAAAAACTGGATCCTACCACGTGATTTTCTGGCCAATAAAAATGCACGCACAACAATGGAAAACTACGACACCATCATTGCATTTTTATATATTGTAAGATATAGATAGAAGATACATTGCATATAATATTCATTTATTTTTTGTAAAATTTCATGCCTCATTTTTAATTGTATTTTATATTATGTCTATTTTTCTAGATTTATTTAGATCTAGATTTATTTTTTTCAGATGTCTATATTTCTAGATACTCCTGTTTTTTAATTGCTCGTAGTTACACGTGATTATCTTAAGAATGTTTACTTTTAATTTAAAAAGTGAACAAGTGATCTTGAAAATTTAGATTTACTAGGTTCGCGTAAGCTATGACAACCGATATTATGAGTGCTTCTAAATATAGCGAGTGAATAAATGAAGTACAGAATAAGTGAAGGAAGAAATCTAATCAGTAAACCGACATAATTGTAAATCAGCAGCTTGGGGTTATTTAAATATAACGTAAGCAATTTCTTGTAATTTTGATTACATTATCCCATCTTGTCAGCAAAAATAAACTATTAACAACCTTAAGATAAGATTTTCCAAGTGCATTAATAAAAAAATTTGTGTTTTTATTTAAAAAATTTTGAAATTAGGAGGACCTATGTAAGCATTGTTCATACCTCTTCCTTCGAGAAATCCCTTTGTCAGCATAAATAGGCATGATAAAAATATCAAGTACAATTACATAATACTTGAAGGATCAGTTTGTAATATGAAAGGCGTATCGGTTTGCATAAAAAAATACATAAAAGCAAAGAAAAAATACATAAAAGCAAAACAATTAAAAAAATAATAAAACTGTATTTCGAACGTAATTGGTTATATTTGATTAAGTACCCGATTAAGAACCGAAAAGATTAAAAAAAAATGTGAATTCATGTACGAACATACATTTTCTTTCTTATATTTATTACAAAAAAAGAAGAAAAAAGTTTTTGATCAACTTTCCTAACCTAAACGCATTATTTATTATTCGTAACTTCTTCGTAGGGATCTTTGATCTCTCAATGTGTTCTTTCCTTCCAAATAAATGGAAAGAAAAAGAAAGAAAGAAAAGCAAACTATATGAATCGGGTTCATTTTATTAAGGGTAAATGAATGATAGATTTTCCAGACTCTGTCCGAAATCCTTTTAAGGTTGATTGATTTTTTTCTTCTTTCTTTCGTTTTTTTCTAACTCTTTTGCTGCGGAATCATGAAATCGTCTGTTTTTCTCACCTTAGTGGCGCAAATCCGTTTTTTCCTGGTGGTGTCTTGACCTGGAATGTAAACATGATTCATTGCCAATTTTTTTCCTCTTTCTTTTCATCGCTTTATATTTTTAGTTTTCTTTTCTTTGACGAATGGAACAAATTTCATAAATAAAATTGAGGGAAAAAAATCTTTCAGATGGAGGTGGATGCCCTGCTTTCAGATGTTTAAAAATTCTAGAAAGGATACGAGTTGAGTTGGCAACTATTTGGTCTTTTTTTCTTTTCTTTTTTGTAATCCCACCACTATTTTATATTTTGTTTCCTAGAAAAAAACGTTTTTGCCTATACATATATTCTTTTCTTTTTTTAAAAAAGTTTTTTATAATTTGAGGAGTAACAGATGCGATTTTTATGAGTAAAATTTTTTTTTAAATTTAACGTTTTTAGAAAAAATTATTCAAACAGTTACATCAATCTACTAAATTTACAAAAAAAAGAGTCCTAATATTTTAAAATAGAAGTATTTATTTTGAAGTATAAATTTAAATTTTCAGGATTGAAAAAAATGGCACCTTTATATGTTTTTAGTTCCGGTCTCAATTTAATCATTGCCGTCCATTGCCCAAATAAGTTGTCTTCATCTTCTTCAGCACCATAACTGATTCACAGCCAAGACGGTTTCCATCTGCTTCACCTATTCGAAGCTATTGTCTTCTATCTGTTGGTACTTTTTCCACATTGTCCATCAGTCACGGCTTGACTCTCTTCTTTTGTAGCTTTCGAAATGTTAATCGTTTCACTTTCTATACCAATTTCTTTTTTTATGCCAATTTACACTATCCGGCCAAAAGTATCCGGACACTATGGTGGGGGAAGCATAATGGTGTGGGGGGTGTTCCTCGTGGTTTGGGTTGGGTCCGTTGAATCCTGTGGTTGGAAACATGAACTCTGAGATGCATGTGGACAATGCTTGCACTCCCAACTCTATGGTAATATTTCAGCCTATTGTCTCTTGCAGCAGGATAATTGCCCCATTCACGCATCGAGGCTGGCACATGTCATGGTTTGGACACGAAATTATCCGCAACAAATTTAAAAAAAAAAAAAAAAACTTTTGAGCTTGGTTTAGTCCAGCTCTGACGTAGAGAAAAATCTTCATGTGTGATACCAAATCTCTTTTCCCTCAATTTGTTTTTCAATTTTAATGAATGAATCAATTTTAATCATGAATCAATTTTAAATGAATGAATCAATTTTAAATGAATGAATCAATTTTGAATGAATGAATCAATTTTAAATGAATGAAATCTCTTTCAGATTGCCACCAAAGGTGAGAGCCACAGTACTAGACATGCCACCAAAGAAGCGAACGAACTCAAGAACAGTTATAAGAAAATGATCCCATGTAAGTACAAGTGGGGGTTATTCAATCAATTTTCAAAACACTCTTGCACGAGGAGTAGTATGCATGCATTGAGAGAGAAAAAAAAGAGTTGTGAGAATGAAATCTGCTGTTGTATGGCAGGATTGACACTGATCGTTTGGAGTGGGGTCACTTTAGACGGGCTGTAACTTTTATTTTTATTTTATAACTGCTGTTGAACAGCCGACTCAATGTTTTGAAGTTTAGGACTACTAATGTTCAATTCTGTAGCCTTGTCATTTTGAACCCAATCCAGAAGACAAAGGAATTGCTGGATCACGTATTGGGAGAAATTTGCCTTCGTGGAGGACTTTTTGATGGAACTATGAATGAATGAGTGAATATTTGATGAATGAATGAATATTTGAAAAAAAAAACTGTATTCACATCAAGTTCGAAGAAAAAGTACGTATTTGAAACATGAGTGGATGAATGAAAAGTATTTTATTAAAGATTGAAAATTATTTGAACGAGATATAGGGAGAGGTTGAACTTTTAGCAGGAATCGAATGATTGAAAGTAATTCTTAATGGAATAAGTGTTTTTTGTTTTCCTTTTCAGATGATTACAATCGAGTAGTATTAGAAGCCCTTCCAGGTATTCCTGATTCAGATTACATCAATGCATCCTTCATCGATGTAAGATTTATTTATCTATAATCTCAATTTTGGGGAAGAATTTGTCTATATATATATTTAATCTAAGTAATAAGTAGAGCCCGGATTTTGATGACCTAAAAAATCTCAACTAATGCCCTTAAAAAGTGCAAAAAATGCTCTTAAAAAGTGCAAAAATGCCCTTTAAAATGCAAAAATTGCCTTAAATAAAGTAAAAATATTGAATTAAAAAAATGTTTTGCTCTTTAAAATTATTATGAGTCATTTAAAAAATATAAAGCAATGCAATACTTGTTCTACGCTCACTAAAGTTTGAAAAATATGTTTTATATCCTAAAATAACAAAAAAAGGAAAATATATTGACACCAAAATATTTTTCTTTTGTATAGAAACTTTGATGGATATAACACCAAAATATTAGTAACATAATATTACTAAATATCAGAATTGCATTGGATTATTAAATGTTTTTTGATAATTTGAAATGTAAACGAGCGTCTCTTGTCTGAAAGTAAATTTTCATTCCTGCAGAAGCTTCTTTCAACGTCTACTGATGTTATAGGTGCGTACTTGAAAAAGACGGTCTCACTTACTGACAATTCTTCTTCAATTTAAAAAGATTTTGCTTCACCTGTTGATATCGTATAGATTTTCTTCATTATTTGAAAGCCAGTGTAATAATGAAAATTGATAAAAAAATAATAAAAATTGGAAAAAATTAACAAAAAACTTTAAAAAATGCATTAAAATGCAAAATACGCCCCAAAATTTAAAGAAAAGTGCCCTATAAATCTAAAAAAATGCTCTAAAAGACAAAAAATGTCCAAAAATGCAAAA